CCCTGCCTTCCTCCTGCGCGTTGCTCGCGCCTGCTGCGGATGCCCGGGCCGCGGCTCTCCTGATATCTCGGGCCGGCCGGCGACGTGCATATGTATGGCCCCACATGACATCTCTCCCCCCTCGAGATCCAGCTCGTCCTCGAGCTGAAACGTTGGATACTTGCTACGGAAATCATCGAGATCCTCCCAGGTAGCCGAGGAAGCCGGTTCACCGCGCCAGTGAACCAAGACCTGACGGACACCGCGCGCCAGGCGAGCTTGCTCGACCCGTGCCGGCTCTGGAACCACCACGCCATGGTGGATGTCTGGTAGTGGTGGTGGAGCGGATGGAGGCGTGCCGACGAACTTCTTGAGGGTGCTCACATGAAACACATCGTGGATGCGAGCTTGCGGGGGTAGCTCGAGGCGCATGGCGATGTCGTTGATGAGTTGCACCACACGGTAGGGCCCCAGGTAGCGAGCTTTTAGCTTGCTTGTTGTAGACTAGGGCAGAGAGGACGGGGCGCGCTGACGAAGACGAAGAAGCGCCCCGTCACCCACTGTATATGAAACCGGCCGGTGACGCTTGTCGTAGTGGAGCTTCTGCGCTGCCTGCGGTTGTTCTAGCCGGTGACGGACGTCGGAGAGGAAGGCCTCACGCGCCTCCATGTCCCGAGCGACTGCCGCAACCCGCGTCTCGCCAGGCTCATATGAGCGGATGGTGGGTGGGTCCCGGCCATACACCACGCGGAACGGCGTCTCATGCAGGGACGACTGGTAGGCGGTGTTGTAGATGTACTCGGCCCACGGCAGCCAGCGGAGCCATTGACAAGGACGATCGCCGGTGAAGCAGCGCAGGTACATGACGATGACGCGGTTCGCGGCCTCCGTCTGCCCATCGGTCTGGGGATGGAAAGCGGATGACATGCGCTGCTTGGTCCTGATGAGACGCATGAGCTCGCGCCAGAACGTTGAGGTGAACACCGAGTCGCGGTCAGACACCATGGATTGCGGCACGCCATGAAGGCGTACAATGTCGGTGAAGAACGCCTGTGCCACGGACTCGGCGGTGTATGGATGAGCGAGGGCGATGAAGTGGCAGTACTTGCTGAAGCAATCGACGACGGAGAGGATCACTGACTTCCCATTAACACGGGGCAGCGCTTCGATGAAGTCGAGCCCGATATCCGCCCAGACGACTGTGGGGATGGGCAGCGGCATGAGGAGCCCTGCCGGGTTGAGGTGCTCCGACTTGTACCACTTACAAGTGACGCACACTCGTACAAAGTCCTGCACAAGACGACGCATGTTTGGAAAATGAAAGTCACGTCGAAGGCGGTGCAGAGTACGCTGGACGCCCTCATGGCCGTCGTCGTGGACCGTCGCGATGATCTCCTGCAGGAGAGGGGAGGACAGTGGTATGTAGAGGCGCCCATCGTAGAGCACCATGCCATCCGCCATGGTCCAGGGGGCCGCGCGTGACCCAGCGCGGACTTCGTCGTGGATGGCCACCAGCGCGGGGTCGAGGGCCTGAGCGTGGCAAAGCCGGCCGATGAAGTCGAAGCGGGGTGCCAAAATCGCACGGAGACCGCCCGTGCCATCCTCGTCGTCGCGGCGTGAAAGCGCGTCCGCCACCGTATTGGACGCCCCCGACTTGTACTCGACGGTGAAGTCAAAACCCAGTAACTTCCCGACCCAGTGGTGTTGCGGAATGGTGGTGAGACGCTAGTCGAGAAGATACTTGAGACTGTAGTGGTCCGTCTTCACGAGGAAACGCCGTCCCCATAGGTACGGCCTCCAGTGCCTCACCGCGAGCACCAGGCCGATGAGCTCCCGCTCATACGCGACGAGGGAGAGATGCCGGGGCGCCACGGGCCGGCTGAAGTACGCGATCGGATGGCCCTCCTGTAGCAGTACAGCCCCAAAGCCATAAGTAGAAGCGTCGCACTCAATGAGGAAGGGCTTGGTGAAGTCCGGCAAGGCCAAGACCGGAGCTGAAGTCACGGCCGCCTTGAGTGCGCTGAAGGCTGTCTCGGCGTCGGGATTCCACGCGAACCCCTCTTTTTTGAGGAGGGCTGTGAGGGGGGCCGCGATGGCACCGTAGTTGTGGATGAATTTCCTGTAGTAGCCGGCCAACCCGAGGAAGTCGCGCACCACGCGCGCCGAGCGGGGACGCGGCCAGTCGTGGATGGCCTGGACCTTGGCGGGATCCATGGCAACACCCGACGTCGAGATGATGTGGCCGAGGTAGGCGACGGAGTCGATGCCGAACGAGCACTTGGACCTCTTCACGAACAAGCGGTGCTGGCGTAGCAGGTCGAAGATGACTCGGAGGTGGCGAAGATGGTCTGCCCACAAGGTGCTGTAGATCAAGATGTCGTCAAAAAAGACAAGGATGAACCGGCAGAGGTAGGCGCGTAGTATGTCGTTCATCAACGCCTGGAACGTGGCCGGAGCGTTGCACAGCCCGAACGGCATCACCAAAAACTCATAGAGGCCATCATGGGTGTGGAACGCCGTCTTGTGGATGTTGTCCGGTCGCATCTGCACTTGGTGGTACCCAGAACGTAGGTCCAGCTTGGTGAAGAAGCGCGCGCCGTGAAGCTCATCGAGGAGCTCATCGACGACGGGGATAGGAAACGCGTCCTTGACGGTGAGGGCGTTGAGGGCGCGGTAGTCGACGCAAAACCGCCATGAGCCATCCGCCTTCTTCACGAGAAGGACTGGGGAGGAAAAGGGCGAGTCGCTGCGGCGGACGACGCCCTGCTCAATCATCGCCGCGCACTGGCGTTCCAGCTCATCCTTGTGGGCCGCCGGGTACCGGTACGGGCGAACGGCGATGGGGGCGGCGCCGGGCTTGAGGACGATGGCGTGGTCGCGGGTCCGCTGTGGCGGAAGGCCCTTCGGCTCGGTGAAGATGTCCCCGTAGGCGGCCAGGAGCTCGTCCAAGAGCGTCCCACTGGCCGCGGTGATGGTGCGCAGACGGGCGGTAGTTGACGATGGCACACCCGACCAGCAGATGGTGCGCCCGTGACGCTAGAATGACATGGATCGCGTGGTGAACTCCCACACGATGGGCCCCAGCGTTCCCAGCCACCGTGTGCCCAGCACCAGATCATACCCTACGAGAGGCATAACAAACAAATCGGTGTTGAACGCAGTGTCGTCGATGGAGAACAGGGCGTTCCGGATGACGCCAGGGCAGGCCACCCGTTCGCCATTAGCAACTATCGCCGTCATGCGAGGGCGGGGTTGGACGGGCAGCCCGGAACGTCGCGCCGCGTCCTCGCCAATGAAGCTGTGGGTGGATCCGCTGTCCAGTAGGGCGAGGAAGGACGCGCCCCCTACAGACACCATGACTTGGATCGTGTCGGCGACCGGCACGCCCGCGACCGCGTGGAGGGAGAACACCGGGGACTCCGTGTCCGCCGCGTCCTCAGCCGCAGTGGTGTCGTCGTCGTCGTCGTCCACGGCGCAGTCCAAGAGGAAGAGGCGTTTGCAGACCTTGTTATGACCGCGGCTGTACTTCTCGTCGCAATTGAAGCACAAGCCGAGGCGACGCCGTTCCTCCTATTCGGCCTGGCTAAGCCACCGCACGGGCCGTCCCTCGACCGTGGTAGTGGTTGCGGCCGCCTTGGTTGCTTGAGGTTGGGGCGGGATGTGGCGCGTCCCCGGCGTGGGTAAGACACCCCGTGCAGGAGCCTTGGCCAAGGCAGTAGTGTACTGTTCCATGAGCTCGAACTGCCGCGCGAGACTCATTGCGGCGGCGAGGGATTGCGGGTTTTGGGTTTGGACGGCGAGGCTCAGCGGTGGTAGGAGACCCCTCGTGAACAGCTAGACGCGCTGGTCCTCATCAAGGCGTCCGGTGCAGGGAAGGAGGCTCTGGAAGCGATCTTGATACTCTTCGACCGTGCCCGTGCGACGACACGACGCGAGCTCGAAGAGAGGGGCCGATCGGAGCGGCGGCCCGTAGCAGAGGTTGAGGAGCTCCTTGAAACGCATCCATGACGGGGTACCCTCGTTTGCCTGAACTTGCATGTACCACGTTTGCGCCCCATCAGTGAGGTTGTAGGACGCCATCCACACGCGCTCCTCCGGCATGATTCGCTGTTGGGTAAAGAAGGACTCACACTGGTTGATGAAAACCAGTGGGTCGCTCTTGCCGTTATAGTGCGGAAAATCCGGCCGCCAATGCTTGGGCAGGCGGTCTTGGTGATGCTCTCCGGTGCCAGGCCGTGCGCCCGATGCGGACGAGCTAGTGGCGGTGATGTCGGCAATCGCCTTGGCGTTAGCCTCGATCGACTTCTGCATCAACGTCATGGACTTGGTGAGCGCCTCAATGGAGGCTTTGAGGTCGTCACCCATGCTGCCCAGACAGGACGCAACGGAGGCCGAGGAAGCAGATGAAAGGGCGGCGGCGGCAGCGGCTGATGATGGATCGGCGGCTGGGCATGGGGAGGTGGACCGAGACGACGAGGATCGCCGGGATAGTGATACCAGGTTGTCAAGGACCTCGGGTCCTCGGATAGCTGGACCTCGGCTACGTAGTTCATAACCGTGATCCGTCTTCTCCGGCGAGGTTTTCCCCTCCGCCGCAGGCTTGGCTTTGTTGAGAGAGAGAGAGAGATAGTTTAGGAGATAATAACTTGCTTAATCTCAAATGTCACACCCTTACAGGATAAGTAGGCCGGCGGCCTAACAAACTTGGCAACAACCATTTGGAAATAAACTAATTTAGAAATAAACTCTCCTAATATCAAGGCCATGCAAATCTAGCCACTTTCACCGGCCCTGCCTTCCTCCTGCGCACTGCTCGCGCCTGCTGCGGATGCCCGGGCTGCGGCTCTCCTGATATCTCGGGCCCGCCGGCGACGTGCATATGTATGGCCCCACATGACACGAATATTATGAATAGAATCTACCCAATTCATTAGATAGCGCCCAGTACTGAAAGGAACTCAAATTTACATATTTTGCACAAAGTAATATACTTTCTCGAACAAACCCAATGTTATACTTGTTTAAGGATAGAGAAAGACCTTGGTTGATACGACATCATTGGAGAGCCGTACAAATGTACCAAAAGATGTTAGAAATTGAGGATAGCTCAAAAGCCACTTGAAGGTCTCCTTTGTTATTATATCACCCATTCCAACATATGCAGCACATGTTAGAGCGATGGATCCAATGCTTTCTGCTGAAACTTGAAGGTGTTCACTCATTGTGGGCACATAATCTTCATCACGCCATTTTATTTCCTTGCAGTATGTCTGAACTAAGCGCTCCATCTATATGAAATATGGAAACGTGTGAAAGTTACTTATGATTCTGATATTGTTGCCGTCAGATATAATAGGGTGCTTGAAAAAAAGTAAAGATTGGTTGCTTAAGTTCCACCGTTTGGATATCTTTTTTTGATTTTATTGTTTATGAGCAATACAGTTACCAAGACACAATTACTAGCAAATCAGGCATTTCATGAATAACTCAAGACCACATGTATCCAAGTCATGGAATAATCTTATGACCGATTAAGATATTATGCATAAAGAACTCCAGTTGTATTAGTTTTTTTAGTTAATGGAAAAAATCCACTCAAGAAGCATCGGACTAGTTCTTACAAACACACGTCCATGTTTTAACTTATTACAAGCACTCCATTTTATTAATATTTGGCAACTAAATTTATCTACGGCTTTTTCTTCACCTACGACTGCAGTCATAAATCTGTTTTCTGGCTGCAACTCCTGATGATAAAAAGTACAGCATTCTTTATCTTTTTTAGACAACAATAGAATAGTCACATCTCAGCCTCAGCGTTCTTTACCTAATGTTCAAATTCGATGTAGAATATCTTTTGTTTTATTTTTATGTCAATGGCATAATTCACTATTATAGAGCATAATATTTAATTTCTAGCTGATTATAATGATTGTGTTCCTTGAGAATGCTCAAGCATATATAAAGGCACTCATAAGAGGGTATATATATGTAGAATACTTGCCACCTGTTTTAGATAAAGCACACGATAGCTCTTCTCTGGCCCTAACACATCCTCAAATGACAGAAATGTCTCCAACAGGAACAAGTAGAAACCCTTGATGTACTCTGGAAGGAGATGTATTGCACTTTCATCCCATCTGCATTTTATAAAATTAGAACTTTGTGTTCCTATAGTATTGAAGCTGTCCAAAGAGAAAGTTACATGCATTTCCCATTATCATGTAATTTTAATTAAAATATTATTATTATTGACAAGTGATCTCTAACTTTCCTTGAACAACATTATTATTTGAGGATATCGTCAATTTTGTTCCTTGTATAAGTTTGTTTGATGCTTTCCTTACTTTACATCTTGCATTATAAAATATATATCAATGATTTCTGTAATTCAAATTTGTTCTATACTCTGTACCTTTTGTCCTCTTTTATTTAACTGAAACCATTGTAAAATGATGCAAGGCACATGGCATGCCATGCGTATGTGTGTATATTGGTACCAAAAGGGCTGTAGTCCTGGACACATCATAAAATGTCATCCCGTTACAGACCCACAGAGAAAACTTCAATTTCTTTCATTTCAGTTGTATGTAAATCATTGGCCGGCATGCCATCTAATATGTATTAAATAGTTAATACATGTACTATTTTTAAAATAAAAATTATCTGACATGTGGTTTGGAAGATTGTTACCTGCCAAGTGCTTCAGCGAACTTTGTGCACTCTTCAGTGGTACCATATGTGTCAAACATATCATCAATTATTGCAATGAGACCTGTGATCTTTGTTAGTATAATTCGGGAACGAGAGTATGGTGGATCATAGCATGCTCCATTCATCCAGAAATACATCTCTACTATCCTATCTCTGACAAAAGTCATCTTTGATTTGGCTAGGAACTCCTTCCACCACCTACCACATGCATGTTGAGATAAGCCAATTAAAACTTAGGACTGAATAAATGTACAGCACCATCAATTCGAAGTGAGATGAAAAATCTTACACTGTGCAATGCTTTAACTCTTCACAAAAAACAAGTTGTTGAAGGTTAAAATTCAATTTTGCAAACTCCAATATGTCTTCATTCCGTGTAGCCTCTTTTTCATAAATGGGTATGTAATTTCTCGCTTCTAATATTCCAACTCTTCTAAAAAGAGGCGTATGAAGGGAAGAAGACACCTCCTTTGCAAATGATGATTCTGGAAGTACAAGGATACCTTGAAGGCAACGTCTAGTGAAAGAAATTGCTTCATCTAGTACCTTCTCTCCATGCCTCCTCAAATATGCTGCATTATATAAGCTTAACAAGCTTCTCGTGTCAGCATAAGCAAAGCTACCTTCTTCTGTTTTGAAGTTCAGAAATACATCTGCAAAATTAGCTCATGAATAATAGTCACGTCCTATTTCAATTAAAACATTTGATCTCATATTTGGTCTTGATTGGAAGATCTTATACCTGATGACACATCATAACCATTCTTGCGAAGAAGATAAAACCGCAGTGAAACTAAGTTAAGATCTTTGTCATTGTAATCGGAGATGTAAATATGGTGCAATAACTTGTCTATCTCATTCTCGTAGTGGTAATCCAGTCCAAGTCTTTGCAGTGTTAATATAAGATTCAATGTTTCTGGTAAGTCAGTTGAGTCCTTCAAAACCTTCCTAACATCTTCTCTTAATACCTCTGCTCGCTCTTTCATGTATGCTTGCTGTGGAGGACAAGTATGGTCAATTTCATCACATATATTCCCTGATCAAAGCCTATTTCAGCCCTGATCATCTCGACATGCAATTGTTACCTGAGGTGCAGTTGGCGGCTGGTATGTGAGGAAGAAATCACCCCACAGGCTTGGGTGGAAGGTAGTAGCCTTTCGCAGCTCCTCTGCCTTGATGGAATGATGTGCTGGAGGAGACGCCATGTTCTCAATTCCAGTTTAGTTAATATTTTCTTGCTGATATTTCTGATGGATTTGCTGATGCCTATAGGTGTTGCATTGCAGAAGTATTTATAGGGGATGCAGGCATGCCGCCAAGCAGTACTGCACCAGCCAGGCACCTTTGTGACAATGACAGCGGTCTCTTCGTACACATGGCTTTTTTTTTTCTTTTCTGACGTACTGTGTGTTAGGTTTGAAATGTTGCCCTGACACCTAACAGCTTGTTTCTTTTTAATTAAACGGCTTATGTTTTGAGAGAATAAATATGTTCCAAGTGCTTATTATATCTTCTAACTTCTATATCTTAATAAGAGACCTGAACTGCAATTTTTTTTGGCATCTCATATAGCTACATCATCAACACATCCATCATGCAGATGTTACTCCCTTTGTCCTATAATACTAGTGGCAAAGCTCCCTCAAATGAATGGATTCATGAAACCAATGAATTCTTGAATGGTGTATTTTCAATTCCTGGTGTAGCTGAAAATGATACTATTAAGTGTCCTTATGCACAATGTTGGAACTACTTTAGGCATATAAGATATACTATAGATATGCATTTGTGTAGGCATGGTTTTAAGGAAGGCTATGAAACTTGGACTGAGCATGGTGAGGGACTGATTTCACATGATGGATATGATGGTGTGGGAAATAGAGAGGGCACTGATGAAGTTGATCAGATGGATCAAATGTGTGGTGGACCTTGCTGGGCACCATCCACCTATACTGGATGTTGAACCAACAACATATGCCAAAGCTTTCTATAGGATGGTTGCTAGTGCAGATGAGTTGGTGCATGATAGAACCACACACTAACGCTTGTCTGTTGTAGCTCGCTTGTTTGTTGTGAAGTCACGGTACAACATGTCTGTCGTAGAATATGATGATATACTAGGCATAGTACATCGATGTGGTTAAGTCAACTATTTTTAGCACTTATTTTTTTTACTGAATGTGTCGTCACAAATAGATTCATGGATTCAACATTGCCTACATATTTTCATGAATTCCATATTCCTTCTCCATTGTGATCACTTCATGTCATATTTGGTGGAACATTCTATGGTTTACATGCAACACAGTAGTCTCATTCTCTGCATCTGTAGGGACAGTGAAGAGATAGTGAGATGGAAGATGATAAGAAAGAAGGGCTGGAAACTGGATAATCAGGTCAACAATGACATAAAGCCAAATAGGTAAGCAGTTTGCAATCATTGGTATTTCTCTGCAATGGTACAAGGCTACAAGCAGTATGACATGGCTCAGGTTTACAGTTATCATGTTTTAAATTATGCCTTTCTGGATATGGTTGATCAATGGATTAGTAGCATACTTAATAGTGAAGTAGTTGAAAAGTAGAGTTTAGAAATTTTCTTGGTGTTTATTTTTTCATTCAGATTGCCTTATTTGGAAATTAGTAGCTCAGGTTGTTCGCATCTTGTAACCTTGTATGTGCATCACAACGAGCTCTGGCCAGATCCGCGACATGGCAGCCCTTCTTCTCCATGCCGCCTCCTCCATCGGGCCCCTTGCCGGTGACGAGCTCCCATCAGGTATGTGCATCCCATTCTCCCCCATTCTTGTTGTGCGAAACAGAGTTGTATGCAGTTGTAAATAGCTACCCAAATGTCAAGTTGTGCCTCTTTTTCTAGTAGTTGTTCAAGCAAACTGGATGTGCATACAAGCAAGGGAGATCCGTGAGATTTTATAATTATAGTATGTATGTGCTTCTTGCTGTGATTAAAGAATCGGTGCAGAGAAAATCAGTGATTAAATAATTTATGCTTCTTGCTATGATTTTTCCTATTGCCTGAATGTCAGTTAGCTCTATCATTCAGCACCAGTCTGCAACTCTGCATAGTGTGATGCTATTTAGAATAACAGATGGGCCTTGGTGTCAGCACTTAGTATTTGTTGAAAATTAAACTGTGTTCGGTAGTATACGCAACACAAAGAAAATTAAATCTGTTAAATCTGTGTTCAGTACCCTTTATTCAGAATTTGTGGAACATATGCAGTAAGGAGCAACGATTTTGTAATTAGGTGAATGTGCTTAAGATTTTGTGGAACATTCTATGTGTTTGTCTATGTAGTCAGGAGTCCAATTTTTTGCTTTCTACCTTAGGAATTTAGGAAGGTTTGCAGTTTGACATCTGGAATTTAGGAAGGTTTGTAGTTTAACATCTGGAAGTTAGCTGCCAAGTTACTATCTGGAACAAAGTTGTGCTTACTACCTGATGTATGCCAAGTTGATATTATCTTGCTTACTGTGCTTTATTTGCAGGTCGATAGGAGTAGCAATGAAAGAGCTAAGAGCTGCTCATTTTCAATGGTAGCAACATCGATATGGTTGTCAGCATAGTAGTGCAGTAGTTATCAGTAGTGAAATTCATGAACTGCTGAGATGAGATGGTAATGCTTTTGAATGTATTGATGCCGGAACATTTAGACATTATCTACATGTAGCCTGGATACTATGAATGAATGTGTTGAACATTTTAGCTCCATCTTTATATGTTGTGATGAAATTACTGTATGGACAGTCCATATTTTAATATGCTGTTGCTACTGTTTCCAAATAATTATTGTATCTAATTTGCTGCAAGGGTAAGTGTATATTATTCTGTCGGTGGTCTGTTAACACCTGACAGAAAAATACAAATTTTCTGTGCGTTCACCTAACCCAGCAGAAAAATACAATTTTTTCCTGTGAGTGCACCTCTGCAACTCTGACGGGACAACACTAACATAAAAAAGATTTTTCTGTCGGGTTTTTCTTTTTTCTGTGAGGAATAATGCACGGAAATTTTATTTTTAATCTGGCTGGACACAATTTTTCTGTGCGTGTAACACCCACAGAAAAATTGTTTCTAATGGCGAACACACAGAACAATTGAATTTTTCTGTCATTATATTTCCGTGTGTATTTTTCTGAGAGTACACCATCCGGAAAATATTTTTCTGACGGTATTCGCATTTTTCTGTGTGTTTTCGCACACACAGAAGAATGCGAGTTTCCAGTAGTGACATTCATTCCAAATTATAAGTCATTCCAACGTTCATGAAGAGTCACTCCAATTAGCGGCTTATATAGCATTTGTTTTTCTTCTAGTCGATCCTGTCCATCTGTCTCGGTCAACGTCCATGGTTCTCATGCTTTAGGGTTCTTAGTTTTTTTTGAGCAACTTTAGGGTTCTTAGTTAGGCTGTGCTATTGTAATTGGGCTATATCCAGTGATTGTGCAGTTTTATAGAATTAAGTTTTACTTTGGCACATATTTTTGCCAACACCATTTTCTTTGCCCATTTTTTGAAACCGTTACCGACGATTTTCACCAACAGCTACAAACTGTCGGTGAAAATGATTTCCACTGTTGGTTTGTATTACGAACCATTGATGAAAAATGGCCCGATTTTCACCACCGGAAAATCACCACCATCAGTTTAAAAAATGGAGGTGAAAGTGATGTTGGTGAAAATGATTTATGTAGTAGTGATCAAACTCCTCCAATGCCATGGAGATAATCAACACATACGTGTATAACTTTTAATTTATTTTATTTACTGAATAATTACTTTCAGGGTCCTCCAACCGGCGGTAAAAGTCATCATCAAATATAAATGGTGTAAAAAACCCATTGGTGAAAGTGGTGTTGGTGAAAATGATCTGTGTAGTAGTGATCGAACTCCTCGATCAATGCCATGGAAATAATCAATACGTACCTGTATAGCTTTTAGTTTGTTGTATTTACTAGATATATAGCTTTTACTTTGTTTTATTTACTTGGTAATTACGTTCTCACGTTTGTCTTGGCGCATCCTTTGGCGGACATTGTTCCTGTTATTGCCCTCTATATATAACAGGCTAGCTATTCACTGTACGTGGGTCATTGATGGCGCCACCTCGTTTAGGCACGCTTAACACAAGCTGATCACCATTCAATGACAAAGAATGTTGGATTTATTATGGGCTAGGCCCATTTATAAATTTAATAAATCAATAACTCTATGGCTTGTAATTGTGGGTATTACTATTTGTACCGGATTGGAAGTTAAAAGGACGTTGACTCAACTTAAATGATTGGAATTGATCCGTCTAATTTGAGAAGTTGAGAAACGGACAAAGGCGTGCCACACGCGCGCCGCCGCCAGCCGGGCCGGGCCGGGCCGGGCCGGGCCGGGGCGTGGCGTGGCGTGGCGTGTTATCTTTTTAATACCCACTAACCACGGGAGTTTCAACTTGAAGCCAGTCTGACTCCTGATCTCCCGGAGTCTCTCCACCTTCCCGTCCCGGCGCATTCCTCCGGGACCTCTCGGCTTTTCCTGTTAATCCTCCAACTCCAGTTAAAGAGAGAGTACTGATCCAGAGATATAGTTCAGTTGCTAGATGGCCTTCCTCATCTCGTAACTCTGCGCGCACGGAGAAGC